AGCCAAAGTAAAAGAAACCCAATTGGTTATTTCGATCGTTACTGTAATATGAATAAAGAAACCTTATTCTTTATTTCAGTAGTTGATAGGGAACCTTTCGAGTCATTCATCAATTTATTACCTGCTGTTTTGAAGTGCTAAATAGCTTCTGAAGCAATTGTCGTTTCAGTTCTCACTGTTTTGGATGACTGCAAACTCATCATTTCTTTTAGAACGATTTATACTATTATAAAATTGGTGCATACAAAAGGTACGTCATCCCATATTATCGTCTTAGTATATGGTACGTCTTTGCTTTTGATCTTGTAATCGGTTTGACATTCATTTAAAACCGAAGAGAAATGGACAACTGTTACATCCTCATCAGGTTTTCTACGGTTTTCCAACTGATTTCAGCCATGATAAAAATTACCTTGAAAGCCCAGTAAATCTTCCCAACCCACGCCATCCCCACTTTATTGATAGTTGTTCCTGCAATAGCTGGGGGGGGGGGGAAAGGATTTTCTGGCCTCGTATATCTATTCGAAAAGTGTGGATATATGATTGTCACGTCATCCTAAAGGTGATGTCCTTTTTGAGTGTTCATCTTCTAGATATGTCCTTTCCTCCGAAACTTCTTCAAGGTATATCATGTTCCTCCTTCGAATCATTCACCAAGTCAATCCTCTCCTCTAGTGTTTTTGACAAAGAACGCTGCACTATGTAGTACTTAAACCCGTTTCTACCAGTAGTATATCACACAAAGGTAGTAAGTAGTTATGAATAGCAGTAACAGCTGTAATTATCTTCTTATACTACGGAATTCTTTACACAATCACATGGATACATTTTTTGGTGGATTCATATTTTTTTCATATCTATCACTAATTAGTTAATTTGATCATTCAGGTTTTTTTTTCTATAAAAAAGTAGTAAAGTCATTGTGATCGCTCCTAAACGAAACTGGTTTTCACACGTGTACATCAATACCATGTTATTCTAAACGTGCGTTCAACTAGTCATGTGAAGTTGAGATTAACAAAGTAGTCTTTTTCTCCTCTTTTTTCTGTCGTCATTTATTCCATTGATTTCATTCGGTTGGATTCATATTCACTTTTTGTTGAAAAAGTTATTTGCATCAGGTTACTTTCTTTGGACACGTGTTACGTATGTCTAGTCGCCGATTGCCTCATCACACAACGTTGGTTGAAGTAGGTCCAGGCTGGAAGGAGGCCCGAGGTGGTCAGACTAAAACATGGCATCAATGTATGAAGTCTTTGACTGTTGGTTTAAGCCATGTGGGGCGATGCAAATTAGGTGGTTGGGGTGTGTAGGACAAGAGGAACCAGTGGTTGGAGACTCTAGGTGATGGCATGGCTCAGAACCGATGTTAGTGGTGCAGATGTATCCCCACACACATTATCCTCATCTTAACGACTCTATACCGTATCTCACCATTTTGTCGTTCTTCCTTTCTCTGTTTGAGTACTTTATATTTCTTTTGGTTGAGTTTTCTTATCTCCATCTTGCATACCTCACTACCTTTTTACTTGATGTACTGATATGAGGTGTGGCAAGTCGGACGGTTACGCAGTAATGCCTGGTCCTATCGTTGATATTGATGATGATGATGATCAGGTTACTCTTTAATTCCAGTTTTTATGATTATGTATTTTTACGGCATTTTTATGAGACAACCGATAGGATTGAAAAGTAATTAACGTTATTTCAGTACGCTGAAATGCTCAAAATACACGTGAATAGCAACCGTTCTGTTCAGCGTGCAACATTGAATTGTGAAAAGAAATCAAAGAATTAAGGCAGATCTGTAACTGTAAAGACGATTTACTGAGGCGAAAATGCATCGTACGTATTTTACCTAATGTTAAAATAGAAATTCATTATTTTATTCTGATTGGTCCGTTGGAACAGAAAATTGTCCAATCAGCTCTTCTCGACCAGAAAGTAGTATAAGTCAAAGTCGAGCCTAAGAAATTGTTACCTCAGTTGACAACGCTTCGAAATACTGATTTGTATGCAGTCACTGTAGTCCGCCTAGTGAAATCTATAGACAAGCCTGATTAGGCTCTAACTGCTTATTTTGTTCACTAGTATATTTTGTTAGATCGTGACACTTTTGTGTCGGAGATCACACCATACGATCTTGGCTTTCAATGGAAACCTTGTTAACATAAACGGTTAAGCAGTTGTAAAACTGCTCAACCATGAAAAATATCACTATTGACCGTGGACTTAAATAATTTGCAAACTCATCATCCAAGTCAGCGAAGCTGCGGCTTATCAGTTTAGGAAGATAACTTTTAACTATTGGGTTACGGGTTCGAACACTATTCCACCTACCGAGGTTTGAGCATCTAGATAGCATCATTATCCTCAATAGGTGTGGCTCATTGCCAACGAAACTTACTACTGAACAAATTGAGAAGTTAGAAACTATTCAGGCTTATCTATAGATTTCATCCTCAAGATTAGAGCGTTCTGAACACTGGACGACCTTTTAGCTCGTTTGTCGTAGAGCCCACCAGGCTATGGGTTACTGACTACTGTTCGAATGTGCAAAAGGTTGCTGAATGCATTTCGATTCGATTCGACTCCAAGTCACTTGGTCAGATTAACTTGGTCCGAACAACTTGGCTCCGTAGGTGAACTCTTATGCTATAAAACACAGATTTTAATTCTGGATTATGATATATAACTGAAATCAGCGGGCGATCTATTGATGATAGAGCCAGAAATTCATTAATTGAATGATGAGACCCAAGTGTTCTCAGCTTATGTCTAAATTCAGTTTGACCTTCAAGTATTGTGACAAAAAGCGGAACAAGTGTACATGTTTATTTCATCATATAAACTGATCCGTTGATTTTTTTCTCATTTTAACCTTATTCTATGAGAGTATAAATTGGTCAACTCTTCACCACTGTCTTCCTATAGTTAGCGGAGCAGGTTATAAATATCTCTGTAGGTTGAGTGGTAAAATTTATACTGTCCTTGAAATGACCAATCAAAAGATGTCCGGTTATTTGTTGAGTTACAGTGGATGACAGCTTAGGAAACTTTCTGATTCAGAGTTGTTGGAGGAAAAATAAAGATGTTATCAACGTCTTACAAGTTACAGTAAGAGATGTTTGTCAGAAGTTCTAAGCTATGTGGTGAAAACAATTCAGATTCGTGGTATAGCCTCGAAGTTGGTTATAAAATGCCAAGAATGAGCTTTTTGGGGTTATTAATTAGTATTGCCACTAAAACTGCCATAGACTGATTCGAGACTCATATGCTCCTTAGCATCCCACCCCAGGTAATCTAATTTTCTAATTCCATACTATGGATATCCCTTCATTCATATTATCTAGAATAATGTTAGAACATACTCTTAACCTATTTTGTCCCTCAAAATCAGTCACATTTTACTTAGCCAGTATTCCTTGAGTTGTTGATGTTTGGCTATTGCACCGTACTTTTTTCATCTAATTTCTCATTCTGACTCAACCAGATTTCATTTCACTGTCTACTTATGATTGACCTTACTTGTAGTACAACTTTCATCATTGAAGTGAACATGATTCATTTTCATCTCATAGTGTTACGTAACCCGTAAAGCTGATGAGATAAACATTTATTACGAATCAAATTCCAGTAGTAATTGATTCTATCCTTAACGTTCACTTAATACTTTTCTGAAGTGATTACCTTAAGTGTTAACAAACTGTTAAGTGAAATCTGAATATTGTTGACACAAAGTTCCTCAATTTGGATATACAACTGAAGGACTGGAAGAAGAAGTTATCGAAAAGAACATTCTTTGTTCTTTCAAATGGCTTTTGAAAAGACATCGAATCAAGAAGAAAGAGGGGAGAGGTTTTTAGTCGATTTGAAGACCAACAAAGGAATAACGTTTGGAAATTTCAGGTCTAATCGATCTTTTTTGCACCAGCCTTAGGTATATTGAGCAAGCGTCGGTGAGCTACACGTAGATGCTAATAGAACTTTTAATGTCATACCATGGTGTGCCGAAAATAAACCGCATGTATCTGGTCAACACCTGCTCAACATAGCTGAGGCTGTCGTAATAAGATTGACCAGACCAGGAATTTGTATTCAGAAAGACCATATCCAACCCTAATTCCCCCCTTGGCCTTCAATAAGTCAAACGTTACTCATATCTTCTGTATACATATATTATCTTAATACTGACAAATTTCTAAGTAAAAGTCGATATAAGCGACGTATTTATTGGTTGAATAATAGAATGGAGAAGTCACTCAGTGAGTCGTTCATAGACGGCAAGGCTTTTCAGTTCAACCACAACCTGTTTACAGCGTCTTCAAAAGTCACGTTAGCAACTGCTAAAATAACCAATCAACTTTTGGTATTTCAGCTCAGAAGGTGGTTATTTTTAAATGAAGAAACAGGGTTGGATATGTCAGGAGTTGCTAGGTCACTTTTAAAGTCACGCACTGGTTACAGTGACTTTAAAAGCCACCCTAACAACTGCTAAGATAACCAATTACATTCCTTTATTTTACGAGCAACTATCGTCCCAGTACCGAAACGTGATTGGCTATTTCAGCACTTATTAGGGTGGCCTTTAAAGTCATGCTTAAAATTACACAACTTTAAAGGCCATCCTAGCAAGTGCTGAAATAACCAATCAGGCTTTGGTATTCTGGCTAGGAAGGTAGCTTTTCGTAAAGTGGTTGGCTATTTCAACAGTTCCTAGGGTTACTTTTAAAGCAATACCCCGTTTACTACTGAATGGTTGTTGACTGAAACCAGATGAACAACATCTCGTTTAATTGTTTGTATCATTCGTCTGCTGATAGTTGCTTTTATATATATATATATATATATATATATATATATATATATATATATAAAACAGTGTCCGCAGCCTTATTTTCCTGTAATTCTAATCGTTATACGCAAAGAAATGGAGTTATTCTACTGGTAATATCAGTTAACCTTTGTTTTTTCTTGTTTTTCTCCTATTTTACCCTTAGCTGGTATTGTGATATTTACTCCCTCCTATGAGTACCAATCAACTCTATATCATCGATGGGAAGCTACAGGCTTATTGAATAAGCTGTCAAAGTATAAAAGTCTCTTTCGTGAACCAAAAACAACTGGAAGCTTAGATCAGGTTAGTTATCCTTCTCCACACACACGTGCTCACGCTTTTTTCTCTGTTTCTTCATGTATTAACACATTTTTCGTAGTGTGTAAGATGAATTTGGTGATCCCATAGAGCCACTGTTACTATTCGTTTGTACTTTTCTTCTAAGGCTTGGATGTTCTCGCTAACCTCCATTTTCAAATTCCTTCTCCTTCCATACACCTTTGTCAGCTTTGATATCAGTCGTTCTTGTTCTTTACATACTAAAGTGAAGCGTGGCGACTTGAAGTGATGCACTTGCGCGTGAGGTTCTATATTGATTGTTTATCTGTCTATTAGGAGAAAGAGAATAATAACTGAAGTTTTGTCTATCTAACCAACATCAAACTGATGGATTAAGAATGACTCAACAAACATTCCAGATATTTGGAAAATTCTACCAAACATACGACAAATGATGGAAGAGAAATGGAAGCATAAAAACAGGATGTGAAAGACGTGACGTTATCTTTGATGTGAATATGAATGTGAACAATGAAGTTGTGTTCGAAACTTCATTCAGTAAACAATACTCTTTTATTTGGTAAAATATTCAACGGAGAACTTAACACGGAATTGTGCATTATGACGCTCCCTAAGATTTACGCTTACATTAATGATGCTGTCCTTGACGATGGGAGACTCGTGAAGACATTGACAACCATTGCTTTCTTACCCACATTTACTTGTTATAATACTACTATATGAGTGATGTTTAGGTTGAAGACCTAGAAATAAGTAATGGAGCTAATTTAGTTGGTAAATTTGTGAAGCGTTACCGGATTGGATGGTTAGAGCACGTGATACGCGCTCGAACCCACCTCTCGTTTCTACACATCATGTTAACCGGAATTTGTTGGAGTATTACGAAAGACTACGATGACCAGAGAAATGCATGTTTCCAATCGATAGAGTTTTTCGATAGCTGGTTCATTACAAATGCAAGTTTTCTCAGTCGGATACAGCATATCAGTCTTTATGACGACTAATAAATCGCAGCTATTGTTGGATACTATTTGAATGGTGGCAACCGACAAGAAGCCTTGTTTGACCTATGTTCTGTACATGTTGACACTCGTCAACAAGGCGTATTAACAACCTAGGGAGGAGTGATGTCCCCGATAGAATTCGATGAGCACTTAGGACTAAACAACATCAAGTTGTTTTCTCTCCAGTAACTAGTCAATGTAAATCGCAGCTCACATATGCCTGGATTCTAATTATCAACTTTTAGACTCAAATTATTATGAGACAGTTAGTTTGACTAATTATCTTATGTTGAAATGCAAACTAAAGTCTTTTATGATAGATTTATTTTCCAGCCATCGTCATGAACAACGAATAAATCCGACTTCATAAAACCAACTTGCAACAAATTCTGCATATATTTCATGCTACTACTTATTTTCTCAAAAGTAGTTTGGTATATACTTAAGAAAACACACTGTTTGCTTCATTTATGTGCTCATCACTCAAAAACAACATGAAGTTTCATTTAGATTCGTTGTTATCTGGAGCGTTAATGAAATGAGTCTAGTTGTAATGAGCAAATAGATGGACGCAATTCAGTTATCTGATACTTTCAGCTTCTATTAACTGAGTTTCAAAATTGGATGAAGCACCTCTCAAGTGTCATTTAAATTTCATTGGTTGCTTAATTGATGCTGATTTGGCCTGAAAATCACCTTGAAACTGATTTGAAACAGTAAATTGTTATCATGATTATTAAGGTGACCTGGTGAATGAAAATAAATATGTGAACGATGTTAACACGATGAGACACTCGAACGGACTACGAATAGCGACTCTCCTGTCTCAGAACCTTATACTTCACTGAGCCGTAGACATTGGAAGTCAAAGACTGACATGTAACTGTAAAGAAGTTTTATCCGACAAAAATTTATGGTTTTAGTACAGTTTTCATGAACACATAAAACCACTAGGTCAAAAGTTGAATTTTTAGTCTTGATTGGTTAACTGTAGAATGAATTATCCAATGTTTTTTTCCTGACCACGCAGTAGCATGAAACGAAATTTGAAATCCAAAGCTTCCATTTTAGCATCTGATAACTTAAAATGTTGATTTCGATTTAGGCCATTTCCTATCAATTTTTAAATGTTTAATTTTTAGATAATGCAAGCCTATGGAATAGCTGCTACACAAAAGCTTCAACAAAGACAAGGTGCTTTGTTGTTATGTGTTATTGGTGGGAAATTAAGTGAAGGAATAAACTTCACTGATGATTTAGCACGAGTAGTGATCATAATTGGTATGCCGTATGCCAACCCACAGTCACCATTGGTAAGTGTACTCACTTTGTGGAACGCAGATAATGTGAAGTGGGTGAAAAATCTTTTTTAAAAATGTATTTTTGTGTAGAACTGTTTTTTTACTGACTGGCGTAAGTAGTCGACTTCGAGGTAAAATGAGTCCTGGACTGAAATTTCTTTCCATATACTTTGATATTTCCGATTAAGTAGTCGCATAAACCCGTATTCAATAAATATGGCTTCTACATCATTGCCAATAGCTCTGCTGGGTTGAGCCATTAATTGTTACGATTAATTTCTAGTTTATGGTATTGGAAATGATATACAACTTCGAATAGGCATTGGTCTCGAATGAAATTATTTCACTTTCATGTCTAAGAAGGCGTTTTAAGCCAGTAGATTAAATGAAATAAGATATAAACTAACATCATACTGATTATATCTTTACTGTTATGCAAGCTTTCCAGGTGAAGACAATTATTGGAATCTATTGTTTTCCATTTCATTCAAATTAAAAAGAAAGTAATTTTATGTACTTATTCAGAGGTTGTTCACCTTATTCAACAACAACTTGAATGCTGTACAAGGTGGAGGGTGGTACTGACTAACCTAGTAACAGAATTTTGTGGTGTTCTTTAAGACTATTCCCCTTTCTTTCCTCATTGGCATACCTTTCTGTCAAACATATCATGTGCGGATTGAATTGTAACGCTACGCATTATCATAGAACAGAGCATAAAATAACAGTCAGCTCTCTACCTCAACTTTGTCGACTTCGAAAAGGCCTTCGACAACGTCTACGGAGAGGTATTTTGGCAGCTGCTCCAACACTACTCTTTTAGTGACACAAACTTTTATCAACCTCATTCAACACCAGCTATATGCTATGTGAGGATGCCACATGCCACGTGATTCAGAATGGAAAGCTCAGTGATGCCTTTGAAGTGAGGACAGACACGAGTAAGACAAGGTTGCCGCCTACCATCACCGATGATTTTCCTCATTGGGGTCGACTGGACTGGACTAGATCACGCAACAAACTGTGAGGGGTGAGAAGATGGGCATACGCTGGCTGGATCGATGAAAAGACTCTGGGAGAAGATTTGGATTTCGCCGCCGATGATGATGTATGTCTAATGTCTTGTCGCACAAGCTCGAAGATCTACAGGAGAAAACCAACAAGTTGACAGAAGAGGTAGGGCAGCGAAAACGAGACTTCAAGTGAACATAGAGAAGACAGAGGTGATGATGATACCCAACCAAAAACAACAACAAGCACCAATCACCATCCATGGGAGAAACCTAAAGGAAATAGCCTCTTTCACCTACCTTCGTAGGCAGCATTGTTTCAGCCACAGGCGGCGGTAGCGGCACAGATGAGGACGTCAAAGTCAGCACCGGAAAGACAGCAAGACAGGCCTTCACTAATCTGAAATAATCAATGTCAAGATCTACTGCACTCCACTCCACTCAGCATGAAGAACAAAATCCGAATTTTCAACACCAACGTTAACACAGTGATTCTATGTGATGGTTGAGAGACTTGGCGCGTTACGAAAAGCATTTCAACAAAGTGCAGGCACATATCACATCAACAGCTGCCGCCTACACTCACTTGATACTGACAGTGAAGATCAGATGGATAGCCAGAATAATAAGAATAAACAAGGAACTGTGGCTGGCTGGCTGGCGACGAACCAACCAACAACCCATCGTCCAACAAATATGCAGAAGAAGGAAGTGGAGATGGATTGCATTGGATTGGGCATACACTAGGAGGACTGCTTCGGGTCATCACGCGTCAAGCCGTCGAGTGGAAGCCAAATGGGAAACGACGACTTGGGTGTCCGATGCGAAGGTGACATGGAGCAGATGGTGTGAGGAAGAAATGAAAGCTTGTGGGCAGTTGTGAAGCCAGATTGCTAAGACTTTAGAGAATAGAGTGAAATGGCGGCGAGCTGCTGAAGCCCTATGTTCTACTAGAAACCCAAGGGACGAATAATAAATGATGATGATAATCGTGGCAGTTGTGCTTCAAGTTTCGCCTTTTTATTTGCTTCAGGTTTTATGCTACTTATCATTAAATGGTATTAGGATTTCTTGCACTTTACGCAACTTAAGGCAACAAGTTTTCAGTTTGACAATTCAGCTAATCAGCTTCTTATCTAACTAAGATTTTCTGTTGGTTTCTCATCTGTATGTGGCTTTCTTTGGAAACGTGTTTATAGTTTATGCTTCACCCTAACCCCATGGGATAGCGCATGCTTCATAATTAATAAATGTGATACATCATTTGACACATCTCTGTTCTGTTATTTATTATAGATTCACCGTAAAAAACTATGCGTTTGATAGAGCAATACCTAACTATAAAATCATATTTACAATCAGCAAAATGTAAGATAAATTCACTAAAAGTTGATACAAATCATGGTGAGATTTGTTCTTTTTTTTTTTTCTGAAACATTTTAATCTCACAAAGTATAAATCACCGAAATCACAAGACATATCCGCCATTTATTCATGTAAAAACAAGATGATTGAAGGATTCAGTTAACAAGCCTATTGAAAAAACAGAATACTAACTACTTCTCACAGCTCTATAATAATTATGGAAATTTTTACTAACATAAAACTCTGAATCATATATTAACATAGATAACAAGATAAACCGATCACCAGCCGACCAGTATATTTCATCCAGTGAGCTTGTTTTATATGTTCATATTGTGGGAAGAGTATTCTGATTTTGCGCGCTCTAAGTGTCTGTCTGCATATCTTCTCCCAATCAATCAGTGGATAGATAGACAAACAGACTGTGATGAGGATAGGTATTTATCGTTCTGCGAATTGGAAAATGGTACAGAAACCAGTGTAATTATCTGTGACAGAGATAGATATGCGTGGGTGTCACTTTTTTTTGACAAGAAATACCAACAATTTTAAGCGATGACTTTTTGAAGATGAAGGAAATATAATGTTCAATGTTGAAGGCATGAACATTATCGTCTTATAAGAAATATCTCTACTGTTTTATGGAGGAATGAACTTTCAAGAAGTTAACCAACATACATCTGGATATCATAAGGTTTTTGGAAAGTATGTAGCTCAAATAAAAATAATTGACAGATAAACGTAAGTTATGAGCGTGATGTTTCGTGCGTAATTTAGCTGGTAAACCTCCTAGCTTAATGGCCACATTGGAAGATGATCGACAGAATTCGGTTTTCACTAAGGGATTTATTACTCGGCAGCAAGTGTCACTAAGACAAGGCAACGTCCAGAAAGAAAATGAATACGGCAGAAATATATTATTACTATTTATCCCTTGAGTTCCCAGTGGAAATTTAGAGCCTCACCAACACGTTGCCATTTCACTCTGTTCTCTGCAGTCTTTTCAACCTTGCTGCACGACTGCCCAGAAGCTCTCATTTCTTCCTCTCCTCCATGTCACCCTCGTCTTGGACGCCCAAATCGTCGTTTCCCACTTGGCTTCTAGTCGACGGCCTGACGCGTAATGTCCCTTAAACCGTTTTCTCAGTGTATGTCACATCCAATCCATCTTGCTGTCTTTCCGATTCTGGTTTTGACATCCTCGTCTATACTTCTGCCGCCTGTAGTTGAAACGATGCTGCCTAGATAGGTAGGTGAAAGAGACTACTTCCTTTAGGTTCCTCCTGTTGATGGTGATTGGTGCCTCTTGTTGTTGATGGTGTTGTTCGTTGGGTATCTTCATCATCTCCATTTTCTCTATATTCACTTGAAGCCCCGTTTCAGCTGCCTCAACTGGAGTCTTGTCTAGTACTGATTTCAGTTGCCTATAGAATTCCCGCTTCTTCTCTTGATCTGCATTGTTTGTTCGCGCCTGGTTAACTAGTTCACTAGTTAGTAGCCAGTTGTAAGCCCGGATAAAGAGAGAAGGTTGGGGATAGGGCTAGCAACCCTATCCCGTAAAACCAATCCAATCGCTAAAGAAACTTCAAAGCACAAAGAAACTATCAAAAATGAAAACAAACTTATTCCTCGCTGGAATCGAAGAGACGAAATGACGCCGGTTGGTGAAAACCTTCGGGAAGCCAATTGGCTGGGCCGGTGTGTCTTCTATCGCTCGGTGATAGCGAAAGTAAGGATGGGGATATGGAATGTATGCACCATGTATGAACCTAGCATGGCTGCCCAGATTGAAAAGAGATAAGGAGGTATGGCATGGAAGTGCTTGGAATCTGAGAAAGCAGATAGAATGGGAGTGGACTGTTCAAACTCTTAACTAGTGGGTCAATAATCTACTCCGATATCGTCACCCAGACGACAACCACGAGCACACTGAGTTTTCGAGTGGTTATCATGATGTCTTCAAGAACATTGAGGGCTCTCATGAAGTGGGAACTAGTCTCCTCCAGGACCATGACAGCAAGATTCAACTCAAAAGAAACGTATTATTATTTGTCCCTTGGGTTCCTAGTGGAACATAGGACTTCAGTAGCACGTCTCCATTGCACTCTCTTCTCTGCAGTTTTTTGAGCCTTGCACCATGACTGCCCACAAACTTTCATTTCTTCTTCACACCATCTCCTCCATGTCACCCTCGCCTCGGACGCCCAATTTGTTGTTTCCCCTTTGGATTCCTTTCGAGTGCCTGACTGGCCTGGCGCCTGATATCCTTAAACCGTCTTCTCAGTGTATGGCCAATCCATTTCCAGTTTCTTCTGCACATTTTTTTGGGCGCTGTGTAACTTATAAGATTGTTAATTAGTTCTTCCTGAAATATAATACTTAGGGTGATGAATTTGTAGATGATTTACAAATTGTACAGTCGACAGTGACATTTCTCATAGCTGATTCGTTTTACAGCTGCTCAACTTTGGTGTCAACAAGACTTTTGCTGAAAACCACCCATCAGCCAACATCATAAAGTGTGTTCTCTGACACAAAAGTGTTATGGACTAATAAAATATACTACTACTGAACAACTTGATGAGTTAGGAGCCTATGAAATTGATCTAGAGATTTCGCTAGCTAGACGGCCGTTTCGCTCGTTTTAGACCAGATCACTCTGATCTGCCTGGCGATATGAACAGATCAGTCTCAGTGGTTTCTAACGGCTCACTTGCTAAAATGTATTTTGATATGCAAATGGATTATTGGAGTAACAAATGATATACTTGATCAACCTGTTATGCTGTCTACCCCATATTTTTTAACTTTCGAAATTATAGTTTGCTTACAGCTTTTTCTATGCAGTATGAGAGGTAAGTCAGTTAATGAGGTTGTCGAAATTCATCTACTAAAAGGTGGTTGTGACGTGTGTTACGCTGAGTTAATCACGATTTACTGCGTTGTTCAATGTTAACTGAATTAGATTAAGGCTGGTAAAAGATCAGAGGCGACCAGACAAAAATGTGGCATCAGTCAACGTATTCTGTGACTGTTAGTTTGAGTTATGTAGGGGAATGCAAACTTCTGACTCCTTTTATTTCTTCATCTTACTTCTTCATGCCTTATTATCTTGTTTAATGTGCTGACATGAGTGAGATATGACAACTTTGACCATTACACAATGAAGTTATATCCCACATTGATGTCGACTGACTTTGTGCAGCAAAACCAATTTTCCGCGATATTCGACCAAGTGGTTTTTACAGTTATTTTACCATCTACCAAAACTATCATTCAACTACGATTAGATACATATGGTTGTTTACATCATTAGTAGATTGTGTTAAGGAAAATATCAGGCCTTGAACTTTGTTCCAAAGGGAAATAAATAATGTATTCATTGATCGCGGTAGTGCACTCAGGACTAGACAATATGAAATTGGTTGCACTCCTGTGATCAATCAATACATGTAAGCCAGTCCTACAGGAGGTCAATCACGGCCTGAATAGCTCAGTGGTAATGTCGCTGACTGCAACACTGGGTGACGCGGGTTCCAATCTCATGTATGCTAGAACAAGGTTCCACGTAAAGCATCAGTATTGACATCATTATAAGAATAGTTCACATGAGCATGAAGAGTGATATATCCCCTTTTTCACTTATTATGTTTATATGCTCAAAGATACTAAGAAATGAATACACCTTATGAGTGAGATGACATTGTATATACAAACTCTAGAATTCATTACATTTCATAGGTGCTGTGTATGGAATATTGTAATGATAGAGAAGATGAGAACACCATATCGTCATCAGATATCGAATATTCATTTCATTGAGGACTATTATCACAATTTTCTTATACTATTTATTTCTTTTTAGTAGTCATTCTCAGATGATTATTTGGGAAGTACTTGAATCTGACTCATTTTTAAATGTTTACCAATAGGATATCGTCATTATATTGGAAACAGCGATTTTGAACTGTCTATGTTAGCAACTGATTGAATAATTAAGAATATATATGCATATTTTGGGTCTTTTTAACTAGTAATTCATACTGTAGTGTATACTACTGATAAGAGTGCATTCAAGTAGTATATGGTATGACGTTTCCATCGGGAGTCAGAACAGACAAAAGACTGACGAATTTTTCGGAGTGAAAAATGTGCTTTATTAAAAACAGTCAGATTATTCAACAGACGGAATATGAAGAAGAATGATTTCAGCAAGAAGAAGTTCCTTGTATTATTTAACTAACATTAATTTTGGTAATCTGGTTGGTTGTGGCTAGCAGAGGAATCCAAGATAGGCACTACGTCCTATTTGGGACTCGTCAACTGGGTATACCTGGACCCCAATGAGTGATGTCACTCTCACTGTGACTTGAACCTCTTACCCACCGCTTCAAACGCCAAGGTGTTTCCCTCTATGCCACGGAGGCATGATAGCACTTCTTTTACAATAAGTATTAGTTATTACTGTTTATTGATATACTTGTAATTCTCCGTAGTTCGAGGTTTGAGTCCCCTGGGGTGCAGGTACATCCAGTTGACGAGTCCCAAATAGGACGAAACGCGGATCCTGCATTCCTCTGTTAGCCCAACCAACCAAATTACCACAATTAACATTCAGGTAATATCAAGACATCCATATAGAGGAGCCCATATACCAATAAAGGTCGAACAATTCGATGCAATGAAACAACGGAGAATTAAAATATATCAATAAGTAAGTAATAACATTGATTTTCGTAAAACGTGACCTCTCAAGGTGTTCCCCAGTCTTGTTGTGGTGTGTACAACTTTTAGAATACACGATTTTTGTATAAAAGTCAGTTTTTTATAGTGAATACAAAATATCAAGAAAGCAGGGAGTTCATATATATTCCACTGTGATAATCTATAGGCGCTTCATTTTTATTAGCAACGTCATACACCATAATACTATTTCTTAATGAAGCTAATTTTTCTAACTAATTTTTCAGTTACGCGAAAAAATGGCCTATTTAGATCGTCATTTCACCAACACAATATCTACTAGTAGTTTTACTACAGATCATCATTGTCATCATCACACCATTCTAAATCCTGGTCGACGGTATTATGAGTCAATGTGTATGCGTTCTATAAATCAAGCTATAGGTCGATCTATTCGACATGCTAAAGATTATGCTGTTGTCTTTCTATTAGATAGTAGGTATTATCGTGCATCTATTCAATCACAACTGCCTAAATGGGTTCAACAAAGTATTATCCAACGATTAAATATAACCTCCACATCGTCTTCATCATTATCTAATCAAGGGAAATTTTTAAATTTATCAGAAGCTTTAGATAATGCTAAACAATTTTTTTCATTTAACAAAGATCGTTTCAAGTAGAATAATCTTATTCTTTGTTTATTTTTATGCATTTTATTAGTAAAATAGACAAAAGGTGAGAATTTCACTGTGATTCTGTTTTGTTTTTTGGAAAATTTTCTACATTAATTATTTTGGTATTGTTTTTTTCAAAAGATTTGTGCATTTATTCTACAGATAAATTTATTATTTTTGTACGTGATAAAATATATGTATATTTTTAGTGGAATTATCCAGTCTCTTGTTTTGTTTTTTCCCCCCTGTTTACTTTAACGATGAAAGTTGATAAATGTCCTCTCAATCAGTTACCATTGTTATAAGAGTACGGCTAGGGTATTCTGGTAGAGTATAATTCTATATTTTAGATTGTTATTGTCTGTTTGATGACTGATAATAGGATCTAAGGCGTTGGTTTCGTCCTATTTGGTACTTATCACCTAGATGCAACTACACCCTAATGGAAATCCAACCACAGTTCCCTTTCATATTAAATTGTTTATTCATTATCATTATCATCATCAATATCAACCTAGGACCAGGCATTACTGCATAACGGTCCGAGTTGCCTGCCACACCTCATATCAGTACATCAAGTAGAAAGGTAGTGAGGTATGCAAGATGAAGATAAGAAAACTCAACCAAAAGAAATATAAAGTACTCAAACAGAGAAAGGAAGAACGACAAAATGGTGAGATACGGTATAGCGTCGTTAAGATGAGGATAGTGTGTGTGGGGATACATCTGCACTACTGACATCGGTTCTGAGCCATGCCATCACCTAGAGTCTTCAACCACTGGTTCCTCTTGTCCCGCGGACCCCAACCACCTAGTCTGCATCACCACACATAGCTCAAACCAACAGTCAAAGACTTCATACATTGATGCCATGTTTTAGTCTGACCACCTCGGGCCTTTTTTCAGCCTGGACGTACTTCGGCTAACATACTGTGACGAGGCAATTAGCGACTAGGCATACGTAATACGTGTCCCAGCTAACCATCTCAGTCGATGAAGATTCATAACTTCTGCATTAATCACGTGGTGACAACACGGAATACGGCCTATACTATGAAGGCAACGGTGGTCGAACACCTGAAGCCAGCCTTCTCATGTCTTCCATCTTCAATCGCCATGTTTAGCAGTTATACAATAGAACAAAGGGGACTGCTGTGCAGCACACGCGACCCTTAATAGACAATCGGATATCACGGTGGCGCCATAGGTGTCAAAAGCCAGCCGAGACTTTTATTGGATATAGCACATATTGATACAGTATTATTTACTTATTTCAAGCAGAATTTATCGTTCATATTCCTTTCTAAGTAATCATATGGCTTTCTTCATTCTATTATTTTAATGGTAGTATAATTTTCTAGATATCTGCAGTATATGATGAATCATTCCCATTACATGTGTTAAGGGTGTTGATTAATTCAATGAGAACAAGGATTCTGTGATCAATCTGTCCCTCCACCTGGTTATCTCTATTGAATTTTACAATTGTCACCCTATCGTATGGTTATGAGACAGTGGATGCAGAGTGATAGCCAAGCTTTCCTCTGAATTAATTATCTTAATGGGCTCTACCGTTGTGTATTTCGCGAAATATTTTTATGTTCTGCTATTCTGACTGACGTCAACATCATTACATCTCACTTGTTAGTTAAGGTTATTTTACTTAATTCACTCAAGTGGATCCTTTTAGCCCACAATTTTCTCTCTAAGCGAGTTTATGAGTTTAAATTCCACCCTAATTCCAGTCCGTATTGTGAAGAATCCCACATACAATTTCCAGTGTGACTTCTTTATACGGGAACATTACAGATGATTTAAATTCCCTCTTAGGCGTGTTGAAATTACCACTAATATTAGCACTCTGTCTTTCGTGAGTTCCTATAAACTTTTTAATATATTCTAGTGGGTAGGTATTAGGAAGTAGTGTTGTTGTATATCCTATGTAACTCTATTCACATTTCTTGATGAATAATAGTACCACGTTAGTATTGAAATTAATATCGTTTATACACATCAGACAGCCAGCAAACTAATTAATTACATCATGGAGAATATTTGTAGCTCAGGTGGATGGTCTTGGTTGTATTATGTTCTCTGAGTTGGGTTGTTTAATCATGAAGCTTTCATCGTCCTTCTAGACGACTTGATCAGCAGCACTAACTTCAGTATGAAGTGAGCTGTCAATATCTCTCCGTGAGTAATTTAGTGACTTGCCTTGACGAAGTGGTTTTGTGATTGGTTGTTTCCTTCGATTGTTATGTCATTGACTGTATAGATTTTCTTGTCGGCTGTCCCTCTGCTTGCCCTTTGACCTTTCTGTCGTTTATCATTTTTCTTATTAGTTGGTAGATTGGGTCTATGTCCATGCATCTATTGATTATTGACTGATCTGAACGCCACGCTTCTAGGATTCCTCTGATATCTTTTGTGTTTCCTCTGTCCAAAATTTCTACATTGTCGAAATCAAATTCATCTCCATAGTTGTTATCCACATACATTAGAATGAGTGATGAAATGTCGTGATGTTTAATGGCCAATTGGTGTTCATGTAGACGAAGGCGAAGAGGGCGACCACTTTGTCCAATGTAGTGTTGACTACAGTTATTGTAGTTGATTTTGTAAATGATATTCAGTTTGTCTTCTTTGGTTGTTGCATCCTTTGGTCTGCATAATAGGGTAGGGTTTGGAGGGAATTCGTTGGTTTATGAGCCACACCGATTCCATGTAGTCTCAGTAATCTTGTTGTGATTTCTGATATATTGTTTATGTATGGTAGGATGATGCGTTTATTGATTTCTGTCGATGACTTTGTAGTTGATGATGTACGGGATAGGCATCTTCTGATAAAGTTTCGTGGATAGCCGTTCTTCTTTAGGATGGACATCAAGTAATTTTCTTCGTTTCTCCGTGAGGTTGTTATACTGCAGTGTGTTCTCGCCCTATTGAATAGAGTCTGCACGCAACTGATCTTGTGCGTTGTTGCTACTGTAGTTGAGGATTCGGTCAGTGTGTGTTAGCTTCCTGTACACTTGGGTTTCCAGCTTCCGCGTATTTGTTCTACTAACTAGAAAATCCAGGCATGGTAGTTGGTTGTTACATCTTTTCTAATTTTGTTGTGTTTGTCTTTTGGTTCATTTGTCGATTGGAGTGTGTCGCTTAGGATAAAACCTGTAACATTCTGGTCAAACATAGGTGATACCTGTCCGTGTCATTCGATTCATATTGGAATGCTTTTCTAACTAAAACCGTTGCACACATCCACACCATAAGAGTGATAATTTCTGATAAAAGTGTCTCTAATGTTTCCCAGTTCCTTATTTACATTTTCTGACTCACTAGTCTATCTCGTAGCTCGGTTACCTAGACATTTTATCAGCTCTACCTTGGCAGATATGGGGTGATGACGTGAAATACAAGTATTCACTCCATTATAAACACCAGTATCTAAGCTTCCGTCGTCTTTTTTCTGGATTTTACACTTCAAAATTGCTAATTCTTGTCCTTTATTTTCTAATTAATAAGTGGATTGGATTGTATCGGTTATCGACTTAATGTGTGGCGAAAAAACTCCGGATACGTTCTGATTTCAACACAGTAAATGTGACATCTACTTATCGTTACCATACGTTTTGAGTGGTGGATGGATTGGAATGCTTTCAACGCAATTCGTTCTCAACTATCAGTTCATAAATATGTCTGCTACAATGGAGGATATTGGAGATCCCATTGCTACTCCTATTTTCTGATAAATTTTGTTTTAAATTTCGAAAACCGTAGGAGTTAGACACAATCTTATCCATAGAATAATTTTTTCAGTCGAAATTTTAGTTCTATTACTTGAGTTAATAGGTCGATGTTGAATTCATTTCTGACTCCCTCCAGTATCATGTTAATATGTATATTTGAATAGAGGCTCATCACATCGGAACTGACCATCCTTTCTTGCTCCTGTTGTTGTATATTATTTTGACTCTGTTTCAGTTCAAAAGAATTGGTGAGTCTAGATACTGAGCAATTTCTAATAAGACATAGTATTGTAGCTAAATATTAGGATAACTGATGCGTTAGTTTGTTTCTAAAGTAAACTATTGGCCTAACAGAAGAACCTGCTTGATGAATCTTACTGATACTGTACATCCCACTAGGATTATTAGTTTTATGGAGGGATTCAATGAAACCGCTTAGAATTGCGTGGCATTTAAGCTGTTGACTCTCAAATACATTCCAGCCATTTTAATTATTATTATTTTTCCCTTGGGTTGCTATTGGAACATAGAGCTTCGGTAGCACGCCTCCATTGCACTCTCTTCTCTGCAGTCTTTCCAACCCGGCTCCACGACTGCCCACAAGCTCTCATTTCTTCCTCACATCATCTCCTCCATATCACCCTCGTCTCGGACGCCCAACTCGTCGTTTCCCATCTGGGTTCCACTCAAGTGTCTGGCCTGGCGCATGATGTCCTCGAATGGTCTTCTTATGGCATGTCCAATCCATCTCCACTTTATTCTGCATATTTGTTGACCGATAGGTTGTTGGTTGATTCGTTCCCAGAGTTCCTTGTTGCTTATTCTTTCTGGCCATCTGATCTAATCTTCAGTGTCGATCGTAGGGGGCAGTTGTTGATGAATATCTGTAGTTTATTGGAAGTGCTTTTCGTGACCATCACATAAAATCACTGAGTTGACATTGGTGTTGAAAATCCGGATCTTGTTCTTTGTGCTGAGTGCAGTAGATTTCCACAGTGGTTTCAAATTAACAAAAGCCTGTCTTACTTTTCCAATATTGGCTATGACATCCTCATCTGTGCCGCCGCCACTGTCTGTAGTTGAAACGATGCTACCTTGCCTAGGTGGGTGAAAGAGGCTACTTCCTTTAGGTTTCTATCGTGGATGGTGATTGGTGCTTGTTGTTGATGCTGTTGTTGGTTGGGTATCTTAATCACCTCTGTCTTCTCTACATTCACTTGAAGTCCTGTCATAGCTGTCCTCCCTCTTCTGTCAACGTGT